TTTAGATATATATTTATCTTTATTATTAAAGCGAATATAAGAGATTTTATAATTATATAATTTAAGATAAGCTTTAAATTATAAAAATATAGCGAAGATCTTACTCTTATAGCGAATATAGTAGACTTTAGAGTAAAAGATAAAATTATTTTTAAATATTATAAAGTATTTATAATTATTAAAATTAATAGAGAATAGAAACTCTATAAAATCGCTATAAATAAATTCGCTTAATTATATATTAGGCGTAGTAGAACTAATATAAGAAATAATCTTCTAGCGCCCTATAATATAGTACTTATAAATATATTTATCCGCGATATTCTTAATAAAATTTATATCTATCGCTATAGCGAAGAGTTTATTTAAATTTTACTAATCTAAATAACTTATATAAGTATATTAAAATTAATAAATCGAGTCTAAAAAAATACTATATATTATTAAGATACTATTTAAATTATTCTAGAGATCGAGAAAGAATAGATCTTAATTACGAGTATTTATAAGTTTTAGATTATCTTTAATTAAAGCGTAGTCAGTCTTATAAAAATTAACTATAATATTAATATTTAATAGTTTATCGATAAAAAGAAAGTTAATATCTATATCGAATATATATAAGATATTAAGTAGGGTAATACTTATATACTTATCTTAAACGAAGTAGTTTAAGCTAATAATATTATAATTAAGAAACTAAATTTAATTATCTTTAATATCGCGAATAGAGCGAGAGTAGATTTTTTTATAGATAATAAATATTAAATAATCGATAAAGAAATAGCGAGAGTAATTAGAGTTTATTATTATATGAGAGTATAGATTAACGAAGTTAATAATTATTAAGTTATACTTTAAATTAGAATTAATAACTATTAAATTAATAATTTTCTTTTTATTAACTATATCGAGGATATTAAAATTATTAAAATTAAAATTTATATAATATATAATTAAATTTAATTCTTTTAGAAAGGTATAGTTAATATTAAGATATTTATTCTTCTTTAAAGTAGAAGCGTTAAAGAATATCTCTTTAATACGCTTACGCTTAATATTAAAACTCTTTTTTATATTATTAAAATTAATTATAGTAATTTAAATCTTCTTCTTCTTTTTCTTATTTAATATAAATTTTTTAGACTTTAAATAAGAAAATTTAATTTAATATTTAATAAGGGGATACTTAAATTTATATTTAACGATCTTATATAGAGAGTAAGTTTCGCGATTAATTTCTAAGTCGCTAGCTTTATAGTATCTAGCGAATTACTTATCTTTACTCTTATCGCTATTATTACGAATAATATATATAATAATATTATCGTCTTTAGATAATAGTAAGCGAGTTTCTTTATTTATCGCGATATAGATAATCTTATTAAATTTAATAATCTTATTATTATATAGTTTATAGATCTAGATATAAGTTATTATAAAGATATTAAAAGAATTTTTAAGTTTTATAAAAAAGAGCTAAATTAGAAAGGGCTTTAATAGAGTAAACAATTTATATAAATTAGCAATTTTAATAGTAATCTTACGAAAATTCTTTTTATATTAATAAATATCTTTTTTAAAAGTAAAAGTAATATCTAGTAATTAACGAATTAGTTTTATATAAAACTCGAAATCTTTAGATTTATAGTATTTAATAATAGTATTTAATATTATCTAAAAAAATTTATTATTATAATTAATCTTAATAAGCTAGTAATTATTATATCTAAAATATTAAAAAATAGCTATATAAATCTTAAACTTAATAATTTTAATAAAGAATAAAAGATTATTAAGTATTAACTAGTTCTTAATATCTTATCTTTATCTAATATATCTTATATTAAATTCTAGAATAGCGATTAATATTAGAGAAAAACTATTTTCGCTAAATTAAGATTAATTAAGAATATTAACTATAAAGCGCTATAATTAATTATTTAGATTTATTATTATTAAAAGATAATTTAGATAATAATATATAAAATATTAATAGAGAAAGCGATAGCGATAATAATAATAATAATTTAATTACTATTTTAAATAAGATAATAGAATTAAAGAAAAATTCTAAGAATAACTTTAAAGTAAATAAAATAAGCTTTTTAATATAAAAGTTAAATAACTTAATATCGCTTATAGAGCTAAGAATATTTTCGCTAGCTTCAAATTTAAGATTAATAAAACTATTATTTAATAAAGTAGCGAGAGTAGAATAGATACTCTAATCGTTATTAGAGTTCTCGAAAATCTTATTAATATTAATTAACTATCGCTTTTAAGTTTTAAGTTTTTATATAAAAAATAGAAAATACTTATATATAAAGCTATAATAAATATAAGCAATTTAATTAAAATAAAAGATATTTAATAATAAGAATAATTTATAAATATAAGCTAATTTCTAATAGGTTTATATAAAATATAGTTATTATAAATATATAAATCTTCTTCTTAAAGAGGTATTAATACTCTTCTTATATTATTTATTTAGAGATTTAAATCTAGAATATTTATATCGCTAGCTACTATTATAAAACTTCGAAGATTATTCTAACTTTATAATTATAATAATAAAATATAAATAATTATAGAAAAAAAATTCGATAATAAGACTTTAATTCTCTTTTTTAAGAGACTTCTAAAGATCTAAAAGCTAATATTAATAAGATATTCTTATTATTTTAATCTTAATAAGCTTATAAGCGTATTAAGAGATAATAGTGCTAGCTCTAAAATACTTTAGACTATAATTAAACTATTAATACTAATATCTAATTACTTTTAATTAATATATAATTTAAAAGTCAATATTAATATAAAATAGTTTTACTTTTAATAAAATTAGATATTTTAACTTAGCGAAAACTAGTAAGATTTAAAAAATCTAAGCGATATAACTTAATTATATAGTAATATAATTATATACTTAATATATTTAGCGAGTTCGATATTTTAACTAGAGATAGTATATCTTAGCTCGCTTAGAGTAAAGGTGAAAGCGGCTTTTAATCTCTTATATTATTAACGAATTATACTCGTTTAGATCTACAATTATTTTAAAAGAAGGAAATATTCTTATTGAGAAGGTTAAAAGAATATCTCTATAGTTATTACTATCTTCGTATAATAAGCTTTAGATATTAAAAGATAGATATTAAAAGTCTAAGGGTAACCATAGTTATAGAGGCGAATAGTATTTATAATATAATAGTTATTAAGTAGAGCTTAAGCTTATAATCTATAGAAATATAAGATAAGATACTTAGTTATTAACTATGAAGTTACTATAAAGAAAAGAGCGACTAAATACGAATACGCTAAGGCGTGTCACGTGATCATGTCACGTGACCGCCAAGAGTCACGTGACCCGAATTTCAACATAGGCCTGATTAAAAAAAATGATCATGAATTTAATTCATATGCCTTTACTCGTATATATTTAAATAAATTAAAATCGTTCGATATCTTACTTAAATATTTATTTCATTATTTAAAAGTCTTTATTTCGATAAGAGATTTTATAAGATTCACACCACTAATTGGCCCGATATCTTTACTTCTTTTTCTCTGTTTTTTATAGGTAACGGATCACGCGGGTTTCAGAATTCGTCGCACACCCTAACCAGATTTGGGGAAGCGGCTTGGCGTTAGGGTGTGCGACGAACCCGCGTGCGGATCAATCCTCCACACTCGGTATACCTTCCTAATTAGGCCTTAGCGCACCTCTCTCCGCATATATGTGCCTGTAGACCACATAGATTAATAGAACAACTTTACACCACACCAATATTATGATATTAAGAACTATTCCTTAACACGCCCAACGGATTTCCTCACTCCTTGCAACGATCTCCTTTCAGCCAGTAACATGGACAAGCACCGATACGCCAGCACGGACTCACCATTTGGGGTGTACATGAGGATGTGCCAAGTTCGATTCATGCGCGATGTTCATCGCCCTTAGAACGTCCCTTCAACATTCCAACGGCTCTGTGGAGTATCGTTCGGGAGCTTGAAATCATTTGCGATCAGGGTATCCAGTTTGCGGAGAATAGGAGATCAAGGGGATAAACAGGATGAGGATACATGGGGAGCCTTTTGCCAATCATACATCTGTCGGCGTGGGCAATATCCTGGCTTTGCGAGAGATGCAGAAAAATGGTCAGGCTGCAGGGAATTGGATCGGGAATTGCAGAAGCTAGGGACTGAATAACGCTGATTCTTATTGCCATCCGGGGGCTTTCTGAAAACTGCGCTCGTAACATCGAAGGACTCCTGCCAGATGGTTTGTATTATCATGGCGTTCTTGATCTTTAGACGTCGAGAGACTTGTAGTGCGTCCCGCACAGCTCTCAAATCAAAATGTTTGGGTCAGTGGGAACGGTGTTTATTATATTCAATCGAGCGCGCAATCATCGTCCGCATCGCGGAGTGACCCATGCATTGAGCTCGACAACAGGCAGCTTATATGTGACAGGATTAATGTCAAGAACAAATGAGATTCATTTGCTAACAAAGCGACTCTATCCCGACTTTTGCGCAGTGATTTGGAGTGCTGAACCAAAGAGCAACCAGTCTGATCTCAGGTCTTCAGGACAGCGGTTCGAGAACCATCAGTCCTCAGTCGATGAATGAACCCAATTGATTTGGTATCACCAGGTGCTAAGCTAGCAGCAGTCATCTTTTTAGGGCACCCGAGTCCTGGTTTTTGGCAGTGGCTGGAGGGACTATAAGGCGAGCTGCACAACATGTTCTTGGTGCATCGGTCAAACTGCCTTGTCAACTCTCACTGTCGTCCATACCTCTCACCAGATGAGAGTGCTTCTCCGACTTCAAAGCAGATTCTCAATTGGAAACCGGTGCTCTTAGCGAAGCACTGCGGTATCCTGATATTTGTAGATGACAATGGCTTGATAGCACGTTGTCAATTTGACTTGGACAGCTTTTCCCCTGCATAACGGTGACCTGTTGCCTTGCCCTTTCAAATGTCGGGCCTAAATTCTCTCTAATGCTCTTCCCATGTGTTCTAAGCCTACCACTTGCCGCACTGCGGCCATTGTCTTGCCCGCTTGCCGTCGCGCCTTGTTGGAGCCTTCGATTACAATATCATCCAGATAGTGAGTCTCATCTTTATTCATAAGTCGATTGTATTTGTCTCGAGTGCTGGCCAAACTCTCGGAAATAGCACTGGTCACCGTTTCTTTGAACTGTCGCATGTTCATAGAGTTGCAAGCCCGGGCAAGCTCCTCAGCTGTCCTCCCTCGTCCATCGAGGTATGACATTATGGCCAAAAGATTCGACACACCAGGCCGATGATCTGGTTCATACGACACTCCTGGCATTGAATCTGTCATCGCAAGCCTGATTTTGTCACCAATAAGTTTTGGGCCATCGTTTACTTGGATCCGTGAGCGAAAGTCCTGGTGGGATTTTGACATTTTGAGGTGTGGCTCCTTGAGCGACATGACACGCCTCGCAGATGCTAGCAAGTTTTAGAAGAAGAGGAACCGATACAGAGACGATCATGGGTTGACATACATAAGACGGTTTGTGGCTTCACAAGGATTTCCCCATGGACAGTATTGAACTGATCAGCGCAGTGTCTTGCAAACTCCAAATGCTGTACTTGGTCCTCTCCTACCGGAACATGAGTAGCACTGGAAAAATGAGCGAATAATGGTTTGATCAAGTATAGAAGCCATACCCGTAGAGCAGGATATCCGCGGCCTGCAGCACAGGATAGGAAAAGAGTCCGAGTTTGAGTCTTGCTTTTGCACTCGTAGAGTCCAAGGCCGACACTTCATCTGGTACGGTGAGCTTGCTCTGTAGATGATCAGCCAAGATGAACAGAAGACCTTTCTAAATCTCGCTCCCGTCATAACAAACCTTCCACTGTGTCATGCGAGAGAGGTATCCCACAGAGGCTGTACAGCTCAATATCCACATCAACTCTGTGTGCTCCGGAACCTACAAATCCTCAGTACGTATATGCTAACGGGCACCGCTGTCGTGGCAAGGGATCATACTGCAGATTGGTAGAAAATGGTAGATCGCTCGGGATCCAAGCCGACAGCCAAGAGGGTCGCCAACGTTTCTCGTTTCCACCTTCGTAGCTGATCTGCATCTTGGTTGGTAGTGATGGCGTGCAAGTCGACGATGGCATAGAGCAACTGAGTAGAGGGCAAAGCTTCATTTTGCAGTCGAGCCCATTGCTGCAAAGCACCTAGATAATTCCCCAGATGAGGAACACCCGTAGGCTGAATGCCGGAGAATATTACATGGGCTTTGGTTGCGCACAACCGCTGGCTGTGTCGATTGAACCCGCTTATGGCATGTGTCGAAGCCGATTTGCAAGACCAGCTAGGCTGACAACATCGAAGTCGAGAATGCCACCGAACACCAAATAGCATTGCTGATTCTCATATGAGTAGTACTACATGCATGATGCACGTCTCTGCGGTCAATATAGCTAGACGGGCCTACCCCTATTTTCTTAATCATTGGGAAACTAGAATCGCGATTTTGGCACCCCCCCTCAAAAAACAGAAAAAGTGCTTTTCTTAAATAGCCTCACAACGATAACTTATAATTTTCTAAAAAATTTCTAGATTTTAATAATTATATAAGAGATTAAGAATATCGAATTATAAAAGATTCTAATTATTCGTTTTATTATAGAATAAAGATTTAATAAATTCTTAGATTTTCTTAAGATAGTCTTGGCGGTAAAAAAAAATAGCCGAGGTAAATTTTTCAAGTTCGCGATATATTCTCACTTTTTATATTCACTTATAAGATTAAAATCTAAATCGTTCTAAAATTTAAAGATAGGTTACTTAATATAATAAGTAGATATCGTAAAATTTTTAGACTGTAAAAACAAGTGGTGGTGAGGTTATACAGGAAAATTCAAATTTTTGACTTTTGATTATGGGGGGGTGCCAAATTCGCAGATTTTTTTTTAGTTTCCCAATGATTAAGAAAACAGGGGTAATTCACCCCTAGAAGCTTAATTCCCCACCCACAACCCCCCCCCCCCCCCGGGCCAGAACTCTGCCCATGCTTGTACTCTACGTTGGGAAAGTCTCCTATGTGACCTAAATCTCGACTTTGGTTCTGCCACTTCACGTTCTTCATAGACTACCAGAGGCAATACTAGACGAAGGCACTTAATCAAGAGGAATCCTCTGTTGCTTGACTATCTATGTGGTACTTCGTACCAGTCAAGCACTCTTTCTGGCCGTATCTTGCCATACTCCGGAAGAGCTTATGAAGCTCGATCGACACCCAATAATGCTCTGGATAACACCTGCCCATGCACGCTTGAACAATTGCAACAACAAAAAGGATGTTCAAGACACCAACAGTCAAGCACTGCTCGGCAGCGGAATCCCTGTTCGCTGGAAGGCTTCGCTCTTCATCATCTCAAAAGCTCTCTCGGAAGTCTCAAGAGTTTTTCGCCTACCGAAGTGCGCCCATTTCGGCTCCATCGCCTGCTTCAAGTTCTCCAGACTAACATCCATGGTTTTCCCTACCCCTAGAATTGATTTCAGCATTGGGACCATTGGGGAGAGAGCACAACACCTACCGAGCTTTTCATGCTGCCAAACGTTGGCCTTCATACCAACACCGTAGTATGCATGTTTCCTCAAGAAAGCTAGCCAAATCTCCACGGTTTCTGAATGCCCATCTTGTATCTGGATCAGTCGCCGAAGGGTGATCCTTTCGAAATTCTCTTGGCTTTTCTTGAAGATGAAATTACTCCGAGGCACTGTCCACCGTTCCGTGATGCGCGGTAAAGGGATTGGCCCAGCAGCAGGTAGATGGAGATAATAGGCAGCCCGAAGGGCAAAGTCAGCAAAGAATTCCACGTTTCGTACATTGTAAGACCGTAATTGCAGATCGCAGGTGGGCACGCCGTATTGTGCGCGCCGCTTCAGAGGTTTAAGGTAGATAGCCTGAACGCTTCGAGGTAGACGTGGGTCGTCACGCTGCTCTGGAGGTATATACTCCTGAGGCGGTCCTCCGGGAGTGGTCTGTGCCATTTGGGCATCTGTGTTGTAACCTTCACCGAGTAACCCTGTAGAAGCACTGGACTTGGGATTAGTCGATGCATATCTTGCGTATAGATTTGCTTACTTTGCGGGTTTGCTTGGTGGTGTTTGAAACGGCGCAGGCATTTCCGGCCTGCGACACATGTGACTGTGAGCATCCAGACAATGATAGAGTTCCTGGGTCACTGACAGGTTACGATTATGCAATTCCGCATCTTCTTGCGATCTGTACCTTGTTGCTGCCGAGAACCTGGCTCTTGTGGACGGCGTTCCCAGAGAGCTCCTGCATTGATCTCTTCTCCTCAAAATTGACATTGCTATGGTCCGTGCTTGAATATGGCCCAGGAAGTAACCCGCCTCACACAAAGGGATGCGTGTACACGCCCGTGAGGACGCCATGCTGCCTCAGACTCGTTCGATCCTCGATTGCGATCGAAGGCTTTCCCTTCGCAGCCCCTTCCCGCGCGTAGCGGCGTGGCAAGTGGAGAATTTTTTTGGCTCATGTATACTCGTATATACCCGGTAATGCCCGTCGTTTCCACCCCCATTTGCACGTTACCCCCATTTGCACGCTCTTAAACCCGATGAATCCGATATAGATAGCCACCACTACTATAGCTACCACTGCTACTTATTTAAATAAACTACTATTATATTATATTTTATTATAAAAGCTATTATAATATAATAATTATTATCTATAAACTTAATATAATAGAAATTTCTACTTCAAACTTAATTTTTTTAAATAATATATATTATCGATTATTACGAATAAATTCTTTATACTCGATATATCTTTCTAATAGAGAAACTCTCTAAGCTACTCTCTATTCGTAGCTATAATCGAAGATCTCGCTCGATATATCGTTTATAATCTTAAATTTCGAGAATATAAGTAAGAAATAGAATATTAAAGATAATAATATATATCGATAATATTATAATTCTAATATAATATTAAAAAGAGATAGATATTATAATAGTAGTCTTAAAGATCTATTAAGAATAAGTTATATATATTATATATAAGAAATATCGTCTATATTTATATTATTAATACGAAGAAATCTCTTTTAATAATTTTTATAAATATTTAGAAATATTAATTAAGATAGATATTAATATTTAATTAGATAATTTATAAATTAAAAAACTATAAAAAATTAAAAAATTAATATAAAACTAATTACGATTTTATCTATTCTTTAAAAATAAAGTAATAACTAAAATTACTTTTATAATATCTCTTTTTAGCTTTATCTTATAATTTCTAGAAATATTTTTAATAATACGCGGTAAGCTAGAAATAAAATATTATAAATTAATATAAAATAATAAAGTTCGAGATATTATCTATAATCTATACGCTTATTATTAAAAAAAAAGTAAAATCGAGATAATTAATTTATAAGTTATTATTAATAAAAATATTATAGCTATAATTAATAGAGTAATTAACTTTCTCGAATTAATATAAACTATTCTAATTAAAAATATTCTAGTATTATATATTTAAAGTTCTCTATATATCTTAATATTTATTAGTTTATAAATATTCTAATTTTTTAATTAGTCTAATTATTTTAAAGCTAATACGAGTTATCTAATAGCGATAAAAAAAGATATTTATATAAACTCTTTAAGTTAAGATTTTTTAAACTACTATAAAACTATTAATAATACTTACATTTTATTATTTATTATTAAAAAAAATCGATTTAAAGAATATAAAAAAGTTTAATTTCGAGATTTAGCGAGTTCTATAGAATAAGAATATTAGAGTTTTAAAAGATATATAAGATCTAATATACGCGATCTTTATAGTTTTAGCTAGAATAATATATAATAAATATTCTTCTTAGATTAATTATATTATTTATAAATTGTTTTCTAACGCTATTTTATTAAATTAATATTTATTACTTTTAGCTCTATATATATAAAGATCTAATATATATTAATAGAAATACTTTATAAAAAATTAACGATTATTTTATTTCTCTATCGAAAATTAATTTTTAATAAATTAATTTTATAATCTTAGATAAGAAATTAAAAGCTATTAATTTTAATAATAGAATTAAAAATTCTATTTTTATCTATTAGTAGTATAATAAATTAAAAATCTTAGTAAATAAGATATAAACTATAATTTATAATAAATTTAAAATATTATATATAAAAGACTTTTTTTAATAATTACTTTATAAAAAAAATTAAATAGAAATTAATTTTATTTAAATATTAATATAATAATAGTTATACTTTATTTATAGTATTAATTAATTCTATTTTATATATAAACTAAGTATATAATATCGAAAGCGATATAAGAAGAGTTTTTTATTATTTTAAATCGATTAATTTTAAATTTAATATCTAAAATAAAAATTATTAATAAGATAATCGATTTTATAGTATTTAATCTTAATTTAAAAAATATTAATAAGAGATATTAAGATATTCTCTATTAGGCTATTATTTAAATCTTATAAAAATATTATCTCTTATATAATTTTAGCGATTTAATTATATATTAATTTTTAGATACTATTTATAATTATTATTAAACTTTAATTTGAAAATAAATTCTTATAAATCGAGTATTATATCTTTATAAGAGATATTAAATTAAAAAATACAATATATAAATCTTTAAGAATCTTTAAGACGAGTTCTCTAATTAAATAAAGATTTATATAAAAAAAAAATTCTTATAATAATAAATTAAATTAAATATAAAATAGTAGAGATAATTAAAAAGTTAAATAATATTATAAAAGATTAGAATATAGATATTAGCGATATTAGCGATTAAAATAAGTTAATAAATTTAAATCTATTATTTAAATAATTTCTTTATTTATTCTTTTATTTTTAATTTATATAATTTAATATTAATTTAATAAAGTTATTCGAAATAATCTTTATATAATATTCTATATATACTTAAACGAGAGTAATCTACGAGTTCGAGTCTTTATAGATTTTTTAATAGAGTATTTTTATTAAGACGGCTTTCTTAGCTAAATAGTCGAATAAAATAGACGACTTTTAAATTAATAAAAGATATATCTTTCTAATTAAGTCTTAGCGCGCCTTTCTTTATATATATCTATCTATAAACTACCGTATATAAATTAATAAATATCTTTTATACTACTATATTTATAAGTTATATTATATTATTTTTTAATAAATAATAGTAATATCTAATTCTACTTTATAGAATATCTAGACGTCTTTTTAGACGTTTATATAAAGATTATATTAATATCTAATAATATAACGCTTTAAGTCGATTCTTTAATATACTATTATAATAGTAGAAAATTAATTACTATTATTATTATAAATTTATAAGTTGAATATAAGATAATTTATTAAGATTCTATAAAGAAATCTACTAGAAAGTATTATCTATTAAGGCGCTATTATAGCGTTATCTTCTACCTCTTTATTTCTATTATATCTACTATATTTATTATAGATATTAATAAATAGAAAAAAAAATAACGTCCTCGATACTTAATATAAGAACGAGCTTTCTTAAAATTGAGAAGTAAGATTTTTAAGAAAGACTCTTTAAATAGAGAAAGTTATTTCTTCGAGAAAAGCTAATTATTATAATAATAAAAGTAGTAATAGAAGAAAGTTTATTCTTTAAGTAAAAAAAGAATATTAAAAAAATTCTTTTAAATAAGAAAGATTACTTTTTAAAGTAAAGTATAAGAAATTTAAGTAAAAAAAGTTATTACTTTAAATAAAGTACGAACTTTTAGCGTAGAAAGTATAGTAAAAAATTAAGATACTTTATACTATACTTCTATTCTATTACGCTATTAATCTAATCCTTTAAAAAATCTAGCTTAAAATCTTATCTTATATTTTTTAACTAATTCTATAGTATCTTTAAGATTATTAAGATTATATTATATATTATATTCGTTTTCGTAATTCTTTTACTTAATTAAATATTAAACTTACTCTCTAAACTTCTATTTTTCTAATAGAGTTTTAATCTTATAGATATTTATAATAATTTTATTTTCTTCGATTTTAGACGTAGTAGTAGTATAAGTATATATATAAGAATTCTTATTTTTAGTATATTTTAACTATATTATTAAAATAATTAAATAAATTCTTATTAAAGAAGAAAGTTTAATATAATAAATAAGCTTTTCGACTTAATTAAAAACTTTAAGAGAATTAACTCGCTAATTATAAAATTTATAATTATTTAAATTAAAAATCTTATATTTATAATAAAAGCGTAGAAAAATTATATTATTTTTAAATATATTAAGAGATTTATATAAGTTATTATAATATATTTTAGCTATAATATTAATAAAGACTATAAAATCTTTTATTTACTCTTATTTTATTTAGTATAAATAATTAAAATCTTCTTATAATAATTTAATAAATATTTTAAAAATATTAAAAATATTAAATTTTTAAAGAATCTTATTCGATAATATATCTAAAGATTAATTCTTAAAATTATTTAAATTATTTATAAGATAGAAAAGTATAAGCGTTTAATTAATTTTAAGATTAATTATAATAAAGTAATAAAGCGTAATTTCTATAATTTAATTTATATACTTAAATTATCTATTAATTTAAAGATAATAAGCTATAAAAATAAGAATTTTTACTTTAAATTTCTTAAAGATAGTTTATTAAAATTTTAATGTAAATTTAAAATCTCTATAAATAATTATAATTAGCGAAATATTTTATTTATATTAAATTAAAGTAATAAGTAGAAGATTAGCTTATTCGATAACAATTCAAATTATTATCTTTAATATAATTAAAGTATATTTAAAAAGATTATTTATAATAATACATAGATAATTATATTCGTTAGCGATGATTAAAAGTATAATTATAAAATTTATAATAATAATATAAAATAGAATTTTCGATTTATTAATAGAAATTATATTTTTATAATATCTATAATATTTAATTTAATTAAGCTTATATTCTAAATAATAATTTATATAAATATTTAAATATTTAACTAGATATCTTATATAAATAGAATTAACGATTTAAATATATATCTTATAAAATTTACTATAATATTAGTAATTATATACTAACTT